CATTCAACCCAAACTGATTCGACTTTACATCCTTTTAGGCCGAAAACGGATCAACAAAAGTGTTCAGAACTTAACGAAAAACAAGCTGGTGTTCCACATCAATTTGGGTTTTCAGTGCAAAGTTGCTGGTGCAGCATGCAAAGCTTAAAGCTTCACACGCCTGGTATAGGAGATATGGAACAGTGTCCTGACCTGTTTTTGTGCCCAGGGTTGGTTGTTTGATAGTAGCAGTAGTAGAAGAAGCAGAATCTCTGTTATGAAGCAGGGCTGGCCTCAACACCCGCTAACCCCATCAAATAAAAAAAAAAACCTCAAACACATTTATGACAACCGTTTCAACCAAAAAGGAACCACAAGTCATCCCCTCAGTTGCAAACAAGTCGATGTGATTTTTGCTTTGGTTAAAAGAGAACTTACTTCTTTTTTTTTTTAAGAAACATAAAAAGTGGTTCTATGTTTGTTTTTTTACTTTTTTATCTTACACACAAACCTGTTTTAAGACACGTTTAGGCTGGTGATAGTTTGGAAAAAAATGTCCCACTTGTTTACTTGCAAGTAAAGGATTACAATTTGGTGCAAATTAGTGCAAATTTTGATTGTCTTGAGTCTTACAATAATCAAGTGGAAATCAACTTGGAGTGCAATTAAAACGAAGACAATGAGACATTTTAGCTACCAGTGCTTTGCTTAATTTTCCTCTTCTCATGGTTTGCCTGCAGCATTCAATAAAACTGCAGAAACACCATAGATGCTGTTTTTGAGGGGAGTTTAAGAATGAAGATGGATCCAATTGCCCAAAATTTACTTAAATATAGAAGATGAATAAAAAAAAAAGAGATGTGCGAATTATAAAAAAAATGTTTATAAAAAAAACAAGAGGAGCCAATTTAAAGTAGAGGGAATAGGTACTGAACACATGTGTTTCTAGTACAGCTATTAAGATGACCTTCTCTTGATCTTAAGTAATCAACCAAAGGCAAACACACAAGCCAATAATTGAAGTGCAGTAAACTGACCTAAACTAGAAGCTGTTGACATTTCGATAAATACTCTCCTTTTTATCTGTAACAAATAATATCCGCTTTAATTGATGTCCTATTCAGTGTGCACTCATTACCAAAGTATTACACATTACAGAGAAGCTGTCTAACAAGAACCACTTGCACAGAGCTTAAGAAAGATCTGAAATTAGTAAGTAGAGCTGTTGCAGAAGGAAAACATGTAATAGACTTATAAGGTGACTCACTCCACAAGACTCCACTGCTGAAGAAGTCATGCTGGAGGTTGTTTAAACTTCACAGCAGATCATCTGGAGAAGCTAAAAGAATACCAGGAGTATGCAGGAAGGTAAGATGAGACCCAAACATTCACTCTATGGTTTCTATTGCACGAACCGTGTTTTTAATAGGAATGGAAATAAATATCAAATCAAGCCTCTAACTTTCAGCTATTTACTTTTGAAGTCTTTATACAGCAGAGTGGAAATTAAATAGCAAAACATGCTTAAAGATTATTGATAAGAAGCTGAAGATGAGACTGGAAAAACGATCTAGAAATAAGCAAAAATTTCTTAAATTATGTGTATTTAATCTTAATTTGAGTAGATAAACGAGATAATTTGCCAATGGAATGAGTATTTTTACTCTTAAAATAAGATAATTAGATAAAATGCACTTGAAATAAGACAATGCAATTGTGTTTTCTTATTTTAAATGTAAATTGTCTTGTTCCATTGGCAAAATGCCTCTTTTACCTCCTCAATTCAAGAACAAATGCACTTATTTTAAGAAAAAATTACTTATCTAGATTTCCATTTTTTAGCAGGACAATCATCCTAATCACACAGGCACGATTCCTATTTGGTTAAAAAGAAAGTTTCATGAAAATGGTGCAGCCAGTATTTTGTTTTATAATAGTATTGAGACTTTATGAATAAGCTGAAGATCAGAACCCACAGAGGAGGCGCTCTGGAGCTTCAACGTCCAATTTTAGTTCATTTAGTTCAATTTTGTTTAACAATAGGTCAAAATTACACAGAAGTATTGCATTGCACTAGTTTCTCTTTAGTAATCCTTAACAAAATTCCTTTTTGTGGCTTAATTTCTAAGAGTGTGCTCAGTACTTATTCCCCACTGTGTTCCGCTTTGCTGCACATAACTTGAAAATATGGTTGATCTTAAGTTAAATCATCGCATTAAACCTCTTTCGAAAGAAGGATGGACCAGTGGTAAAAGGCCATGTTGATTTCATGTAAGTACGAAAGGCTACAAGTTTTTCCTGTTGTGCAAATTTATATCTAAAGGGATCCTGGAAAGGAAGTGCTCAGATATTTTTGTTCTTTTTTTTTGTTTGTTTGTTATTTTTGGCATAAGAGAGGATGTCTTGCTTTTTTTTCCTTCTTTTGGTTGTTGGGTGCCCACATTCACAACATTTATGTAACTCCTCAAAGCAAATACATTCAATCGTTAATCGGACAAATACTCGACTAAAATTACGCAGTTGCAAAAATAAAAGTCTCTTGGTCAGCTTTCTAAGGCGGAGCATCAACCAGGAGGCTCTCTGCAGCGCTGCAGTCTTTTTTGCACAAGCAGCACAGTGGAGGAGAGCTCTGGCGATGCACAAGTTTTATTTGGATCTACAAAGCAATTCAAGACAACATAACGCTTTATCAACTCACACAAGCAGGAAAGAGCTTTGCACAAAAAAAACAAGAATGCACCTGGACGGATTTGACAATCACCATCGTTTTCCTATTGAGGCCAGCCCTGCTTTGCATTTGTTAATACAGTATTTCAGATATATGTAGTCTTTTCATCATTTACTCTGACCAGAACACTACAGCGGCAGAAGCAATACATAAAGAAGCTCATAGTTTTGATTTTACTATTATGCACTTTTTGTTGGAATGGAACTAGTTTCAACTAAGCCTACAGAGCCAACATGTAGTAATGTATCGAGTAAAAGTCTATTCATATTTTTTTATTACTTTTATTTATCACAGGTGTTTATGATGGTGTGCGGGATGTCAAAAGACGGAAAATAAACAGATGGAAGGAGGAGAAAAAATAATAAAGGGACTAGAATAGATTGAGAAAGAACTAAAGAATAACGTATGATTCAGGCAGCATGATGATTCTGGATAGTTTTTGCTGTTGAGTTTGTAGATTGCATGATCGTTACCTTTAAATCCTTCTGTGTTTGCCACCGTTTTAACAGCTTCTTAAGGTTTTTTTTTTTTTCTTTACTTGTTTTCTTGTAGTCGTTTGTTCCTTATCGCTTAAAAACAAAGATCCACGACAGTCACTTGGTCATACAAGCATATGTTCGTTGGAACAAGATGTGCAGATTGGCTTAAGTTTGTTTTTCTTTTTTTTGTGTGTGATTTTCTTCGCTTTTCTTCCAAAAAAAAAAAAAAAAAGATTGCAGACAGAGTGGCTACAATAATAATATTAACAATAGTAATAATATAATAATAGCACTTGACTTCACTTCAGCACAATTAAAAAAAAGACAAAAAAATAAAAGGTTCCAAAGGTGCTTTTTTGTGTTTTGTTTTGAAAATCTGATTTGATGTGAAGCGACGCCCCCCCCTCCCCTCCTCTCTTATACTTCCTCCCTCCTCCTCCTCTTCTCAGCGGGGAAGTGGCGGGCAGAAGTCCAGTGCTGGTCAGATGAAGAAGTAGTGACTGAAGCATTGCCAACTGGTCTGTCTTTTTCTTTTTTCCTGATTTTTTAAAAATAATTTTTCCTTTTTTTTTTTATAGTGGTTCCACTCTGGTTCGGGACAAAAAGAGGAGAAGGAGAGATGGGAACAGAAATAAAAGTTGCACACATGGACTGCTGGCACCATGTTTGTTTAAAAGTCCATCGTCACAAGTAAACAAACAAACAAACGAGAAGAAATCATAAAACAGACGCGAAAAACTGAAAGAGGGGTTTAAAAAAAATGAAGAAAAAAGCAAAAAGGAGGGCTGTCAGGGGGGACGAATTGCTCCCATTTTACAAAATGTAACAAAATTTGTCCGCAAATTTTACAAATCTATCAATACAGGGAAAAAAACAAAAACAAACATATATAACCTATTTACAATGACAAGAAGAAGAAGAACCCTTTTTTTTTTTTCAAAAGTGTAGTGAGAATGCAGCAGATCCCAGCTTTGGCACATGGCGATTTTGTTTTGTTTGTCTTTTTTTTTTTTTTTTTCCATGCTTGTTTGTTTCAGATCCAACCTGTCTGACGATCCGTGGGTCGATCCGTCGGCTGGTGTGTACAGTCAAACTGTTGCTGCAGGCACACATTCAGTGCTCCGGTTCACCTTCCTCCTCATTATCCTCACATCTCCAAAGCAACCCAGGTCACACACAACATCGCCTCAGCCGTCCCTTCGTCCGCCCATCGGTCCAGTTCAACCGCAGGCTCTAATCTGCTTCCTACAGGCTCACTTCGTGGAAAGGTTCTGGGATTTAAGGGGTTTTTAAGAGGCTTACAGTAAAGCACGGATCATGAAAGAAGTCGACTTATACATGCACCGTTTAGATTGTAAACAAACAGGTCAGAAAGAAAATATAAAACACCTGATAGTGTCCTATAGGTGTAAAGGTTTAGAAAAAGTTGAATATCGCAAAAAAGGAAAATGATTTAAATGGAATTTTTATGAAATGGATGAAAATAAAACTCCAAGAACGAAGCTGTGATCCAACAGCTTGCTGAGAACAATACATTTAAGCTAATTTAACCATATTGTCACACAAAATCCACCATTTGTTATTCATGTGCATCAGGGGACGCATTGGAATAAAGTCTGGGACATTAAAGTGGTGAACATAAAGAAAGAGAAGTGGAGTTCCCAATCAGTATGGAAGCCGTGCGCCTAAAATTTACCTGTTTATCTGTTTTCCTTGGCAGGAAACTTGTAAACATTGAGAATCATCACTGAACACCAGCAAAATTTCCATTTTAGATTCAATTTCTTTTTTTTTTTTCCTTTTTCGAGTTTGCATTTTTGAACATTTGAGAAGAAAATATTCATCTTTAAATTTTCGGAGCACAAGACACAGCCGCAGCTAAACTGCTTTTTGCCATCTCTTCCGAAGCAGTTTAGCACTTTTCCCATAATTTTACTTGTTAAAACAACAATATTAGACTAAAGAAAAATACTTTAAATCATCATAGTTTAAGTGTTTCAGTACCATTTTTTTGTAAATAAAAAATAAATAAATAAAATATTTTAGAAGCATTGTTCTGCTTTCTACATAAACTCAGTTCAACAACCATGAATCCAGTTTAGCCTGAATTCAAAGCAGGATACTAAGTAGCTAAATGGGCTTCATTGAATTGTGATTCTCAGCATGTCAGAAACTAAATGGGTCAAAATATAGAATCGCAAAAAAAAGTGCATTATGGCATCTAAATATAAATGCATTCAAGAACTACTGCACTTATTAAGTATTAGTGCATTAAAAAGATGCATCAAGCCGATGGTGAATGAATAATTTCTACGGCAACCAGCTCAGACAATAAGCCTGCAGTCGCCTGCTTATTAGACCTACTTTGGTAATTTAACAGGAGAGACGGATTGGGCCACATCGCATCTTTTGATTGTTGGGGGATGAGAAACAAGCTCATTTTTAGGTGTCGTTGTTTCAGCCAGCTCAGATGCAGTGTTAATAAATGGAGGAGAGAAACAAGTCAGGCACTTCCTATGGAAAGCAATAAAAGCACTTATAATTGTAGGATCAGAGGTTTAGAAACCATAATAGTTTAAGACCTTGGTAAACCTTCAAAGTGTCCCCTGACAGCGTGTCCATACAGGGTTACACTCTATGGGTAACTTTAGACGTATAACAACAATCTAAAATGGGCCATCAGATCTTGATTGTTTGCATGATTTTTAAATCAGTCTCTCATTGCTTTCTGCACTAAACTCGTCATTGCTAATTAGCCCTAATGTCTCTTGTTTTGTTTGTATAATATTTTTGTTAAACACAAAATCACAGTGAAAACTAGAACTATAAATATGAGCTGTATTATAAAGGGATGGGTTTTTCAATTACTTGCACAGATTGTGAAACTGAAGATCTATTTGAGCTCTTTAGATTTCAGTTTCTTGGGTCCTCCTAATAAAACCTGCCGCCTCTTAAGCCCAGTCCTACTTCAAATCGACTCCCTCCCTTCCTTCTCTGCAGGAGTAACATCAGGAATAAAACACCGAGGAGGTTACCTCAGACAGGATGGAGGAGGGCGTTGTGCGTGACCTTGGATGCGACAATCAAGAGATAAGAATTGGTTTTAAAAAATAATAATACAGTACAATATCTGTCAATTAAAAGAAAAAAGAAAGAAAAAACCCCAAAAACTTTTATTTCTCCATTCTTCAGATTCTTTCCTCCTGTGTTTCCAGCAGCAGCGATGGCGGAAAATCTGAAAAATGAAAAAGAAAGCCAGTCAAAAGTGTCCATCTTTTAACAACACACGGAAATGTCAATGTGAACTCAGGGTAACATTTCCTTAAATGGGACAAAATAAATCCTATATGGGAACAGAAAGGGATTAAAAAGCAATTGTTTGCGCCGAGGCTGCAATCTGTTCTAATCCACGTAGGTGGTTTGATGTTCAAAGATGTGTTTTGTTTGAATTAAACTAAATCAGAGCCAAAAAAAAACTCAGTTTGTAGAAACAGGACAATAGATCATGACATTCATCCATATATGGAAAAGTTCATTTTAAGGTATTTCACATCAAATTCTTTTTCACAAAGAAGGTAAAACGTTTGAGAATCATAATCTACATCAAACCAGTGATTTAGGTACTTTTTTCTTTAATAATATATAATTTTCAGATTACTGTAGGTCCATGAGGATTTCAAAATGGCAGAAATACATAACTGTGCTATTTAATGAATCAAATATAACATTTAATAGGTTTTATAATTCTGTTTGCTTTTTATTTATGGCTTTGGTCACAAATTTTAACCAGAATTGTTTAATTTATGCAATGTAACGTATAAAAAATGGATAGAAATCAGTTTGTTCAACTTATGAAAATAAATGTATTTATAGTGACCAGGAAATTAGTTTTAACTTCAATGTTTACATATGCAGTCATTTATTTTTCACTCTGATGTTAAAACATTTTCTTCCCTATTTAAGCACAGAAAAGATATTTCAATCTAAAAAAATTAAATTCAGAAAATGTGTTTTACCTTCATTCATATTTAGTGGTTTATTTCTTAAATGTTTGGTAGAATTGCCTTATAAACTATATGGCGCTGAACCTTTTCAAGCTTAAAAATGAGTTTGATTAAATTCTGTACAAGTACATCCTGACAGATGCTTCAATCAGTCAACGTCCCTGACAAATCAAATTATTAGATACACTATATTGCCAAAAGTATTTGCTCACCTGCCTTGACTCACATATGAGCTTAAGTGACATCCCGTTCCTAATCCATAGGGTTCAATATGACGTCGGTCCACCCTTTGCAGCTAGAACAGCTTCAACTCTTCTGGGAAGGCTGTCCACAAGGTTTAGGAGTGTGTTTATGGGAATTTTTGACCATTCTTCCAGAAGCGCATTTGTGAGGTCGCACACTGATGTTGGACGAGAAGGCCTGGCTCTCAGTCTCCGCTCTAATTCATCCCAAAGGTGTTCTATCGGGTTGAGGTCAGGACTCTGTGCAGGCCAGTCAAGTTCATCCACACCAGACTCTGTCATCCATGTCTTTATGGACCTTGCTTTGTGCACTGGTGCACAGTCATGTTGGAAGAGGAAGGGGCCAGCTCCAAACTGTTCCCACAAAGTTGGGAGCATGGAATTGTCCAAAATGTCTTGGTATGCTGAAGCATTCAGAGTTCCTTTCACTGGAACTAAGGGGCCAAGCCCAGCTCCTGAAAAACAACCTCACACCATAATCCCCCCTCCACCAAACTTTACACTTGGCACAATGCAGTCAGACAAGTACCGTTCTCCTGGCAACCGCCAAACCCAGACCCGTCCATCAGATTGCCAGATGGAGAAGCGCGATTCGTCACTCCAGAGAACGCGTCTCCACTGCTCTAGAGTCCAGTGGCGGCGTGCTTTACACCACCGCATCCGACGCTTTGCATTGCACTTGGTGATGTATGGCTTGGATGCAGCTGCTCGACCATGGAAACCCATTCCATGAAGCTCTCTGCGCACTGTTCTTGAGCTAATCTGAAGGCCACATGAAGTTTGGAGGTCTGTAGTGATTGACTCTGCAGAAAGTTGGCGACCTCTTCGCACTATGCGCGTCAGCATCCGCTGACCCCGCTCCGTCAGTTTACGTGGCCTACCACTTCGTGGCTGAGTTGCTGTCGTTCCCAAACACTTCCATTTTCTTATAATACAGCTGACAGTTGACTGTGGAATATTTAGGAGCGAGGAAATTTCACGACTGGATTTGTTGCACAGGTGGCATCCTATCACAGTTCCACGCTGGAATTCACTGAGCTCCTGAGAGCGACCCATTCTTTCACAAATGTTTGTAAAAACAGTCTGCATGCCTAGGTGCTTGAATTTATACACCTGTGGCCATGGAAGTGATTGGAACACCTGATTCCAATAATTTGGATGGGTGAGCAAATACTTTTGGCAATATAGTGTACATTTTCTTTTTATGCTTGACATGCCAGGTATTTTTCAAGCTATAAGTGCATCAACGGTATGCGCTTTATAACGCCTTTTATCGGTTAAATGAAAAAAATCTGATTATTATTCTATTAGATTCAAACTACTGCTGCTATCAAAGAGCCCGCAGCACGTGAATCCCCTAAAAATCAGAAATGGTCTAAATTTAAATCGGCAGCTCACATCTCAAAGAAAACTGTAAATCAAAAAAGGTTGATCAGTGAAGAAGAGGGAAAAAAAAGGCGCAAAACTCAGAGTACAACTCTTATTTCCTGCAGACTTTGAATGCAACTCTCTCCTTACTGGCAAGTTTGATTGGTTGCTATTATGTTTGACAGAAAAAGATTGAGCACCAATTTAGCAGAATTTGCATCTGTGGCACAAAGGGCACATGCAGAGCGAGGCAGAGTTGGAGACTTTTTTCCTGTTTTGTTTCAATAAAAGATGAGTCAAAGATACAAACCGTTTCTGCTGCTGCACAGACTCACATTTTCATTTCAAAACGTTACAAAGTTAGATTTATTGGTGCCGCACAATTTTGGCCCAAATCCGAGTCCACAGTAGTGCTCAATCAGCTTTTTAGTAAAAATATTTTTTTATGGCATCCAGCATACTAATGCTTTGCTGCAAAGATCAAAGATCATCAAAGGGATTTTAAAACAATTTACAGTTTAAACAAACACAGAAATGTCATCTGGAAATAATCACTAATTAGCAGCAGAGCAACTGGTCACCGCTGCTAAGCAACAGCAAAACAATCCAGCAAACCCAGAGGAATATTTGAGCTTCCTCAGCATTACTTGGATGAACTAATCTAGATGCCGGTTGAAGTGTTGCAAATTGTCATTAAGATAACAATATAAAGCGACTTAAAGGGAAGAGCTTTAATATAATTTCAAGGAAATGTGCAACAGCAATGCATTTCTATAAAAGAGACCAATCCAACTGCAGTGATCTATAAAAATCTTCAAGAATTTCGTGGAAAAAGAAATAACCTGCTTCCCTGTCGGAACTAAGCGTTTAGTTCGTGAATTAAACCAACAATAAAAAGTGAAACTTTGATTCTCTCATATAAAAAGAAATTCATTCATTATCATAAAAAACAAAATCAAAACTCATCTTAAAAATTTAAGCCATATTTGATTTATGCAGATAAACATTTTTGGAATTTCAGAATCGGTCTCACTCCAGTAGCAGCTTCAAAGCATCCAGCGAAAACGTGCAGCGATTTGAATAAAATCCATCTCTGACACGACAATCATTGTGCTTCTCAACAAGGAACAGCAGAAAAGGATAAAACATTTTCAACAGCGTCTTCTATTAAAATGCATCACATTCCAATCCGGAGGACCGTGCCTCCTTTGAAGAGGGTCTTGCAGCACTTTCTAGTTTCACACACTGATTACTTTCTCCCATCTGGGACGCACATGACATGACAGTTCATGGCGCAGTGGAAAAAAGATTTAGATCTGATTAACATGCAAACTTTATGTGATAACCAGCCTGTAAAATCTGAAACCTGCTGTGGAACAAGCATTGTTTCAAATCCATCACTGCTTATAAAAAAAAAGAAAATTAACGGTTAAACTTATGGCTTTAATTATTCAACAATAAGTCCTAATCCTAAAACTGTGATTATTTGGAAAACAGGTAATTTTACTGTCCACCGTCCCTTTTGTTTTACATTACAAGAAGCACAGCAGCATTTTAGCAATTAAACCTTAATCTATAAGCTGCGACTGTTGATAAGTTATTACGGGACGCTGCGCCGCGCTGCGCTGATTAAATGAAGCCTCGAGCTGCTGTGATTAGTGAGACAGGACAATAGATGGTGGGCACACACACACTGAGCTGTGGAGATCACAGCACATCAATTTTCACCGCAGGAATTTGCTCCATAAATTGTTATGACTCTCCATAATAATCGTTCTTTATCACTTCTTCCTCACATCATCTTCCTGCCGTGATCTCATACTTCTCACCTGATGTTTTCACTCAGTGAACTGAATTTGAGCAAAAATAATCTGCTCTTCATTAGAAGCAAAACTATTTATAGTTGGGTATTTAAATGTCCAAGTTCAAAGGTCAACTCTAAGGTCCTTCTATGCGTTTAATCGTATTTTATAACTAATTTATATACCCTTGTTATTGGTAACATTTTCCTTATAATATCTGGACTTTTCTCTAAGTTTACTGTGGAATTTACTTCCAATGCTCATTGTTATTCACAGACCCTCATTATGCATTATATATATCTCTCTCTATATAGATATATATATTAATATTCAACAGAGAAAACTCTCAGACTTTTCAGATGGATTATTTATGATGTCTTCTCTTTTTCAAACATGGTGGGACAGAGGAACATGAAAAAGAAAATGAGCTGATAATAGATGGAACTGTCTATATATAGGTGCTGATTATATAATTAGAATATCATAAAAAGAAAGTAATTTTTTTCAGTAATTCCAGTTCTGCATATCAGTCATTCATTACTCACATACAGGTATACTCTAAGTTTTCACTTATTTTATGTAGATGATTATAACTAAGGGCTGCACGGCGAAACAGTGGGCAGCAAGAAAGTTACGGGTTCAATTCCTAGTCAGGGGTCTTTCTGCATGTGCATGTTGCATGTTCTCCCTGTGCATGCGTGGGTTCTCTCCAGGTACTCCAGCTTTGTCCCACAGTCCATAAAACCTGACTGTTAGGTTAATTGGCTTCTCTAAATTCTTCTTAGGTGTGATTGTGTGTGAATGGTTGTGTGTCTCTGT